ACTTTCTGAGTACTGTAACTGTTTAATGCTCTTAAAGAGCACCAAAAAGCATAAAAGGGGGGTGGCAAAACTAAGAACCCGAGCAGAGAGGCTGCCTGGCAAACTGCTCCCAGCCACGGCTCAGATACAGAAGCTGCTGAATGGAGCAGGGAAAAACCTGTGTGACTGAGAATGGCATGTTCTTCCTCTTCTGCAGTCAAGCCGGACTGGATCAGGCTTCAGCTGAACCCTGGCAAAGTCGGGAGGTCCACAGAGAGAGAGCCTGAAGCTGTTCATCACTGTGCAGAATTAAAACAGTGCTAGTGACTTTGCCAACATTCCTGTAAAACCACATTCTAGCTTCCACATAACCAGACTTCTACATTATTCTGGGAGAGAATGGCTCTTTTCTCTTTTCCTTTTTCCTGCTGAGCAAATAAGCCATGATCTCTGACTGTACCAAGCTAAACAAAGTTATGCATTGCTGGTCCAGAGGAAAAATGTCCTAAAATGATTATATCTAACAAAATTAAATTCTTATTAGAAAAACAACGGCCTGCTGGTGTTGAGATAATTACACTGAGAAAAAATGCTGAAGAGAACAGTTAATTGGAATTGGATAAATTTAGCTAGTAATACAAACAAACGTATGTTGCCAAACGGAGATGGAAGGCTCCTCCACAATCCCTGCATGGGTTGGTGTGTGTGCAGGGCTACTGTAGGCAATGGTGGCAAAATAAGTGTCCATGTTTCTAGTGGCTTGGTAGAGATAAATAAAGGACAGTGTTTCTCGCAGGCTGTGCCGTGACCATCTGCCCCGTTATTTTTGGTAATGCTTTCCAACCTGAATTCTGCAGACCTGTGTTAGCTTTCTCTCGGCGACATCGTGCAGCCATGTGCCATATCCCACGCATCCCCTGCCCACGAGGCTGGGACCACACAACCAACTGCAGGAGACCAAGCACTTTTCTGTCTGAGAAGGACAGGGGGAACTCACGGCCTGGTTTGACACTGGCATTGTGTCACACAGCCAGCCTGTTGAACTCCCAATTATTTACTGATAGCTATTTAGAATGCAGCAAGGCTGCCCGCTGATACCCTGTCCCTGCAGCTGCAGCCAGCTGATGTCCCGAGGCACACAGCTGGCTGCAGCTGCCTCCTCCCTGTCCTTCAGAGGACCAAAGCCCTGCAGCCTGGCCAGCTGCAGCCCCTGCCCCTGTTTCTAGGGAAGTTTAAGGCCCTAAAACGTCACTTTTCTCAAAGGATTGTGCTAATTTGATGTCTGAACAGTACATTAATGTTAATTAATGTTTGTAAATGGTGCAACAAGCATCTGTCATTCTGGTGCTCCAACACTCTTTGGATACATCTGCTTTGCTTTAGCCTTTATTTAGCAGTGATTATGTGGTATGTTTGGATTCAGTAAGATTAGCCCCATGTACACAAACACACAGCTAGGTCTGTTCTGTTCTGTACACAGCAAATATACCAATGTTTCTAACACACCAGGCGAGCAGCAGCCAGCAGAGACACAGCCCTGAAGGAAAGCTTCCATGGCTGGGACACACCAGGAGAGCTGGATCAAGCAGCAGCAGCCTACAGGATGCTTTGGGTGTGTGGGTAAGCAGAGGAGCCATGTGTGCATATAAGGCCAAGAATACAGACATTTAGGACTGTTTCTCTCTGTTGTTTTAGTGAGTGCTTTTTGGTTTTCTTTTTCCATGAGGCTTTGAGAAATAATTATACTGCAAATTGTATTGCAAATACTGGAGAAGAAAATTGCCTTTCCTGGCAGGTGAATTCTATTTGGAGAGATTCTATCATAGCTTCTTTGTCTATAAATACACAGTGCAGCTTTTTTTTTTTTTATTGCAGAGACAACAAAGAATGGATAGATATGCATAAAGCATGCAACAGATAAAGAATTTGGGATTAATTCTATCATTTATATTAAAATACGGAAAAAATAATAAAGAAGTATTACCCAGCGACATCAGAATTTGGATTCAGTCAGCCCTAATGTACCTCTGATACCTTGCAGACTCACATTTTCAGATGAGCCAGTGTCCCTAAGTCTCTGCAATGCTTTTCTCCCTGTATCTCAGTGGTAACACTGGCTCCTCCTGCTCATGCGGTGGTTTTTCCAGATTTCTACCAAAGTCTGAGCGAACTGAGGGGCAACAGTGAGCACATGTGAAGTAAAACTCTGCAGAAGAAGCGCTGGTCCACAGGCAGCTGCCATAAGTGGTGGTGATGGAGAATGGCTGAGGTTGGGCTGAGCCCCCATCGCACTGCACCCATCTATCTGGTCTGGTCTTCCCATGGCCAGCTGCTGCCCGTTCCCTGCTCCCAGTGCTCCTGCTGAGTGTCAATTCTCACCGGAGAAAAACACCTCCAGAACCACACCAAAATGGCCCAGAAATGCAAGTTTCTACCAACAGCTGATAAAGGCCGAGGATGTGCAGATGAGAGGAAAAGAGACACTGCTTGAGAACAAAGCAGCACCTGTATGGTAAACACATGTGAAAGAGCAAGGGCGCTTGTGTGCCCTGAAATAATTCCCTGACATCTGGCAATTTCAGGTCTGTCAGCTGCCAGGTATTACTGCTGTGCTGCTGAGTCGCAGCCAGTGCAGCTCTGCTTCCTCAGCCTGGGCTTGCAGTGACCTTCAGCACTCCCATGGCCCAGCCCTGAATGCACCCCGTGTTCTTAGTCTAATATGGCCAGCAGTGGGAGTGACGAATATTAGGGAGTCTCTCCCACACCCTTTGTGATGGCAGCTCTGGATCTGGCAGAGAAAGCTCACAGCTCTAGGGGCCAGAGAATAAAAGAACACCCAATGAAAAAATGTGGTCCTATCCAGGTGTTCACACTCTCCTCTGCATGTGTTATTTAATATAGAATAATCTAACCTGTCTCATTTCTTTTTTTTTTTTTTTTTAATATATTTCCAGTTCCAGTTCCTTCTACTCAGTTGGGCATTTGCAAGACCTGCCTCTGACCCGTTTACAAAATAGAGTCTTCCTGTGTATGACTGCAGTGCCTCTTATGCGTCCCCACATGGATAACACTGCAGCAGCAGTAAATCCAGGCAGCACCCAGCATGGCTGTCCCAGCAGCATTGGGCACAAGGGACAACAGGAGCTCACAGTGTACCAGGAACTGCAAAGGGGAAAATGGGCAGGAGGGGATATTTTGCCTCCACAACCTCCTGCCTTCACTTAAGAGCCTGGGGAACCAAACCCCAACATTTTACATAACAAGTCCACATCCAGAGCGCAGTGCATAACAGCTGCTTCACCACTAATTGGCTCAGAGAGGCAATTTGTCAACATTTTTAAGATAATGAGCATCTTCTTTGCATTCCAGCCATCTCTGTTCCCAGATAAGGAAACACGCCGTCACTGCTGCACATGAGCTGCTATCGGGATGCACTACGGGGTGGTGCTGCCCCTGTGTCCACACCAATCAGTGCAGAAGTTAATCAAGTATCTTTTGGAGCCTGGCTAGGTACAGACCCTTTGGATGAAAGTTGTTATTTAAATATCAGTTGTGACAATGGTGAGATTGATTATGGTTATTTTATTCCTAATAGTAATACTAAGCGATAGTATTTTTAAAGTTGTTGAAATCTTTACACAGAACGCAACTGAAGGCTTTAAATACTGCTCTTTAGTACAGCTGGTCAAAATGTTTTATTCTAAGTATTTATCCTGTGAAATATGCTTCCAAGTCTGGAAGGTTTTTTTTCAAGTTAAGAAGGTCTGTTGTTTCCATTTGAAAAATTACAGCCATCAATAAAACAAAATTGTTTTCATGTCATTTCTTCAGGATTTTGGCTTCACTTTAATTTTGCAAGGAAAGTTTAAATAAAAAGAAAGTTTTTCAAACTTTTCTCCTACAAAGCCTATGCACCTTTCTTGCTCTAATTACCTCCTTGTTAGTCTTCCCTAGCAGAGACCTGCATACAGATGCCTTAGCAAAAAACCTATAAAACCTCAAGGCAGGAGGGAGGTTGTTTTTTAAGTCTTTCTCCATGTAAACTAGTAATATATGTCAAAACGTGTCATTCAGTAATATGGGTGTTCATCTGGCTAACAGCAGATGAAGGAAGATGAAGGAAGAGCAGCTCTGATTGCACTTCAGAGATGTGTCAGGTTTGCTTTGACAAGGGATGGAAAGACAGGCTACTAAATGCCTCAGCTCCCAAGCTCATGAAGCTCAACATAACCCTTTCCCTGCCCTCCTGCAGCCCCAGCAGTGAGCAGCACCCAGCACTGCCATTATAGCAGAAATGCTAAGTCACAGCCTGAAGCAGTGATTGAGCACCTGGTGGGAAGGCAGGGCCAACCCAGGGGAAGTCAGGTGCATGCAATGCAGCCAAATGGTCGGAAGGGGTAGAGCTAGAATCCACCCCTTCCCAAACCTCATTTAAGGGTTGGCAGTGGAGGTGAGGGTATCTTGCTGGAGAGCCCTGCCTACCTGAAGCCTTCCCAAGGTAAGCAGTTTTTCGTTTGTTTTTGTTTTTCCCCTCTTTGTTTTTGCATCCACAGCTGCTGCACTTGAGCTTATCCTCAATTGCTGCAGCCTGGGGCTCTGCTGTCCTGCTATCATTGCTGTGCTTTCCGTTTTCCTTTTCCATCACATTATAGTATCACAGCCACGTGTAGCAATTTCCTCACTGAAATAGCAACCTGCACAAAATGCACCTCCTTCTGCAGCTCTTTTCTGTGGATGCATTTTTAAGGTTAATTAAAATCTTTACTTAAAAGGAGAAAACATGCCATGTCTGATCAATAATGCAAACCGTGCCAAGAACCAGGTGAGAACCCACCTTGCTCTACCAGTATAAATCTCATTTCCTTCAAAGTCTTCCTATGCTGATGAGGATTCAGACCACTCTTTCCAAACAGAGCTACCAAGAGAGACTCGCTGCTGCCCAGCTCCAGGCTGTTATGGATAAGCAACAACACTGAAGAAAGCCAAAGTGAAAGTTATTTGCTCTGCTGTTCTGCTCATACCTGTCCAGTGATATGCAGCATAGATGCAGGATCGATGCTGTGGTGAGCAAGACATCAAGGGATGTTCGGACAAGGCAGAACATCTCCCCATAAATCCAGCTGTCCTGGACCAACTCAATGGCTCCAAATGGCATCACCAGTACTGATACCAGCAGGTCCACAAAGGCAAGAGAAACGATGAAATAATTGGTCTTGATTTTCCTGCAAGACAGGTAACAAAATGAATAACTTCAACACAACATCCTCCAATGTGAACAGAGATCTTGGCTTGTGATTGGGTCTGATTAGCTCTATCATGTAAATATCTCCTCTTCGATGAATGTCCCACTTCATACTGTCTCCCTCAGCTCGCTTGTGGTTTTTACAGCTTAACAGCCCCTGCTTCTCCTGCATGAACACATCTTTCTGCCCACATGCAGGAGGTAAATAAATGCCCACAGGCCTCTGCATCTGGCTCAGCCTTGTGGGATGCATTGGAGAGTCTGGGGATGAGGGGGGAGATTTTATTTTAACTTGTATATTGTGAAAATCCTTCCAGAAAGCACTCTGCAGAACCTAGACTGAAGCTATCATTTTAACTTGAAGAGTACTTTTAGAATCATAACAATAAAATAGCATTAAATCCATTAAGAATCCCACGCAGAACATGAACAGAGGCTGCTGAATTTCTAACTGACAAAGCCCAGGGGCAGCAGCCAGCCCTGGGACAGGAGTTTTGCAGGAGAGGCCCCAGGCTGCTGGGAACATTTGCTGGATGCAGGAGGGCTTGAGCTGCACATTCTTTGGAGGGGGTTGTTAGAAAGGTAATGGGAGACAGAATTGAGCACTGTGTTCAGCTCTGTTTGTAACTGATATATCTGGTTCTGACACTGAGTGCAACGCAAGTAGGGGATGGAAACAGCGGTCCCACCACCACAATGCAGATCTGAGCTCAGGGGTGCTGAGCTCAAGGAGACAGTGTGACATCGGCACAGCTGGCGGTGGCACTTCATCGTCTGTGATCTGGACTCACAGCTGCATGTGTGGGTCTCCCATTTGGGATGTGGCAGCAATGGGGGCTGCGTGGGCTCACCTGAGCTGCCTGTCCCGGCACACAGCCACCATCACCAACAGGTTCCCCAGGATGGCCATCAGGATAACCGCAGAGATGAAGGTGAGCAGCACGATCTTCTCTGCTACGCCGAAGCCCTCACTTGAACTTTG